AATAATAATGATAAAAAACAGAGTAACTGGATCAGTTCAAGTTCAAGAACTCGGTAATTCTTGGCGTTTTAAGGATATCTTTCATCTTCACTTTTACTGCTTTTCCGCTTCCCTGGTAGCCAGCCATACCGTATAATCACACCTTCTGTTGTGGAAAAGTCAACATGAAATCAAAAGTGGGCTCTCTCTCTTTACAGACTCCAGGAACATGTATAAATATTTCCTAAATTTCCCGTTAATTAAAATGAATGAGTTTATGTAGACGATGATGCACTGTGCGCACCGTGAGCACACAAGCTGTTGATTTCTTGGAGGTTGGAATATAGTCGTAAAATAAAAATGAGAGTCCTGCCGAGGGCATCAACATAAATTATCCTCTGATTATGTAACGGGGAGTGAGTGGGTCGGTACTGGATAAAATTGTTGTTATTATCGGTACACAGTTTCAACCAGCATTTGAGGCAGTCTTTTACTTATTGCATTGTTTAATAGGATTATTTTGTGTATTTCAGTCAATTTTTTTAGCTAGTTTTCAGAAAAAATTAATCAAGCTTCACCATGTTTGTGAAAATATAGCACGCATTCTAAAATCTTTACAAAGATCACAAATAGTAAACCCCGTCGGACCAGAGTCTCTGTAAATTCTGGGTATTTCTCATCTCTTTAAGCGAGAAAGGGTGCATCACACAAGTAATTTCAAGTGCATCTAAAGCTTAGCTGAACCTGTCATTTTTGATAATCAGTCTTCCTCTTGCGATCTCTTATATAACATAAGGTCAATACATTTATAAACGTGTGATACTTGTTCACACAAGATTTCCCCTTGTAATTTCTGGGAAAATGTAATCTCCATCCGTCTCTCCAAACAAAAGACTGGACAAGAGCAACTTTTTTCCCAGTTGCAAATATCTAAAAGTTGTTCTCTGGGTCAGGTTTCATCATAATTGTATCACCGCCCTTTGCATTCACTCGGGCGAAGTGGTGGGTACGCAGTTAGGCAGAGGTGGTGGGGACCTCCTTTCATTAATTAAACTGGATCATGTCACATCCAAACCAAATGGAAATTTATTGCCTTGTTCACCATTGTTTGAGATTATTTATGGCCTATTTTGTCCCATTATAAATCTCCACGCTTTCATCATCATATAACTCCATCATTTAAGAATCTCGGATTCGCTAAGTGTGAAGAAATCAGAGTGTTATGTAAATGACAAAAGTTTGTAAATACCCACGAAACATTGTAATAATGCAGTTAACCTGAAGGCAACATGCCCATAAATCTCATGCAGCGAATAAATGCTTGAGAAATCGGAAGAAACACATTCCCTAGCTTGATTTACTGCAATTACTACCGCGCTTATGTGGAAAAGGTCTTCTTGACATAATTTGGAAGCTATTAAAGCCAATAAAAAGTAAAAACGGCTTTGTTTCTCGGCCTGTAACTGATCCAACCTGGAAAATCATAAATCACGAGAGAATAGCAGGAAGAAGAGGAGAGAATGGAGTGACCGGATAATAAAATAATGAGTATTTTGATATTGCATTTAGTCCTTTTCCTTAAAAATAACCCTTTTGCCAGCAGAAACATATTTACTAAATATGTACGCTTCTCTTGGGTTCACGTCTTTCCACATCAATCGCTGCTACTTTGAGGAGGCAGGAGAGGAATTACTGCTGCCGGTCGAGGTGTGTTAGGTCAAATTGCTAAATGAAAAGGGTAATCTTTAAGGGGCACATTATGGGGATTAACACCAATTTCCATCCTTTCGGAATGGAGTGCCCGACAGGAAATTAGAGACGGCGTTTCAAATTATTATTAACTTTATCATCTCTTTTTTCCTCCGCGGAAATATTTTACACCTTCGATATTTAAGTGCGTATGATTAATTAGTTGGGCGCACGGTGCAGTAGAGGTAAAGCACTTAGGATTCGATAACTAATAGGTCGGGGTACAAATTGAGCACATTACATGTTCAATGTATGATTGTGGTGAAATATTTTTAAGTTGTAAGTACTAATTGCAATCGATCCTTACCGGAATTACAATTTTTACCGTCGATTTTTTTAACAGACGATCAGACCTTGTTTTCCCTACGCTACATCCTGGTTAACAAGAAATCAGTCGCCGTCTTTCTTCGTGTATTGATTATTTATGTATGTATTAGAGGAAAGTTGGTAGCAAGATGCTGTCATGTTAATCTGAATTTAAATGTATGCAAATTTTACAAGCGCTGTTTGTTGTACTTTATCGGTTAAAACATTCAGACTTTTGTCATAAACAATGGAGAATCTCATCGCTTCAGGTCAGCTTTGTCTTCTGACTGTTGCGCCCATCGCATGGACTCCATTGCAGAATTTCATTAAAAGTATTTTGCACAAGACTTGTTTTGCGCCATTATTATCGAGAATACGCACGTATTTACGTACGTACCACGTCGGTGAACCTCATTTGCATATGGTTTATGGTGCAATTACACCGTCAGACTATCAAATGATGGTGACAATTCAGCAGGACTGGTGTGATTTGGCGACTGCTTTGTACGTGTAATGTAAGTACATTGTAGACTGGAATGGACGAAGTGTGCCCAAAGTGACTTGAATGGCGAGGCAAGGCAATCAGTTGGATGGAAAAGAGTTAAGACGAAGACGAGTGGAAAGGTAAGTACAGAAGAATAAACATGACAGCACACACCTGCATGAATCAGCCCCGCATTACGATTCCTTAATACGACCACAAATACATATAAGCAAAACGCATCTGCTTCTCTATTTACCACCGAAAAATCTTCTTCTTCTTTACCTGACCTGGACTAGGCCAGATTTCTCATCCAGATTTTATGGACATACATATGTACATACATACAGAAGGATGTAATTTTAATAGTTCTCGGCTAATCAGGGCCGTTTTACAGAGAAAATAAATTATGGCCAGGTTTATTCAGTCTACAAATTTGGATTAACATGTTACTTATTAGTGGACATGTTGTGCTATTAGTGGAATCTTCATATGCATAATGCATGCAAATACTGATGAAAAAATCAGCCAGTCCTGAAACACTGAAAACTAAAGCTGTAGGTAGTTTGAGAGACAAAAATGAAGTTATCAATGTGACAGATGTTTATTGCTTTGCTGAGACAAATTTTTGCATAGCCTCTCAAAATCCATAACGATAAACAGCCAGCACCTCTATGAATTTTTGAGATTTTCATCCAAAATCTAGACATCTCTTAAACCCTTCTTCCAGGTATTGAGTGATTGCTTTGGTACACATGCTACGCACACCGTTGTTGTGAATGTCTCCCACAATCAGTCCAAATAAAGGTCCCCGGTCGGTCCTGTGGATCCGATATATGTTGAGAAAGATGAATGGCAGGTGTGTTTGTTAAAGGTGATCAAAACAAGGCGAACGCAACCAACTGTCTGTAACCAATCCAAAGAAGATTGAGCTGGAAAAGCTGTACTTGTGCCACCCTCGGAGATTTTTTGAACAAAATAGACCACAGTTCAATGAATATTGTTTCATACTGATTATAAAACAAAAACTGATGAGAAGATGCAAATTTTCAGCCATTGGTTTCACAGGTTTTGTTACAAAAATCAGCAATGCTTCATGTATGTTCTTATAAATAAAGTTATTCTGAGAAATTCAATCATCTCGAGATTACTTGCTCGTACTTCAATTAAGTAGATTTCGTATTTGCATGAATCGGCATGAGATTTCGCAGTAGGAAAGATGAGAACCACGATATTAGAAGCAACCAGAAACGATTATGAGTGATTTTACAGAACAAATTGCTTCTCTCGTATTCCATTTTAGTTCTTGGAAAAATGATGAGCACAATTTTTGCCTTTATTTTTAGGCGTGTTTCGGTATGAACATGCATTGTTTGTAACAGTATACTTGACTTAACGTATACAATCCTTTAATATTATTATCAATTAATAAGTAATTTAATTAAGGTGAACTTACAAGTTGCTGACAGCATATTAACCAACACTGCTAAGTATAATATGATAACGCTAAAGCTGAAACTATTTTTATTATCGTCACTTTTTAAATGTTTAATTTATAGAATACTCAAATCTCATAATTTCGATTTCTACAGGATATTTTGTTATCACATACTGCTGGTTCCAAGGTATGCATGTACAATAGTTTGTCTATTAATAGCTGTCATCTCGCTTCAATACAGGAGTAGTTTCACAATGCTCATTTTCAGCGATAAGAGTATCGATTAAAATCAACTAATTGGGGAAATTGAGAAATTTACATTTTGAGTTTTGCTGCAAAATTTTATTTTACCCCTCACACCCTTCTTCCTCGCCTCGTTAAATTTCTCAGGCGGACTGGAGTGATGCACCGTGCCATTTTCTGCCATTCTGCCTCTTTCTCAGTCCGAGTGGTCAATCCTTCAGTTTTCTCCAGTCTTCCCTCCCAATGAGGACGACTGTGCGTGGGCCGTCGCTTGGCCTTTTCTCCAAGACTGTTCCGAATGGTCCTGATGGGTCATAGACGGAATTTTGAAACCAGTCTTGGTGCGAAGGACAGACGGCTGCCTTTCGTACACAGACGACACGAGAGAAGACGGCTTTCCAAGTTGGGTTTTTAGTTTGATTCTCTTTAGGAATGAGCTAGAAATTGCAACTCATCCCCGAAGAGTATCAAACTAATAGCCCTACGGTCAACTAGTGGACTGGAGACGAATCCCCCGAGTGACCGGTTACCTGAGGAAGACTGTGCATGGGCCGTTCCGAGCTGTTCCAATAAAGACTGTGTTTTAATTAGTCGTGATCACGGCATTTTGAAACCAGTCTTTATTGGGGCCGCCCGGACAGGCCTGTCGCGCATATACAACGCAGGTGAAGACGGCTTATCATTCCCCCCTCTACTCTGGACCTGGCGGCGATTCAATTCGTTTGTGAGTTAGCGTTGACAAATTAATACTTAATTATACAAATAAATCTTTGATTTTTACAAATGATAAAATTTTGTGTTGCGTTAATTGTGTTTAGGGAGATGCCAAATTGCAATGATTTATTCGATTACAAATGTATAATACAATTAATACAATGATAATCTATTGTGTGAAATAAATCAAATCATGAATCATACATTTTTACTAAGGTTGTGAATGTACAAGTTTTCAATTTTAATTTATTCTCCACTTGGTGTTTCCAAAAGGGCTTCAAATCCTGAAGGCCTCGGAAAGGCAGGAGAATTGTCCGGATTCCATCCGAATTTCTGCACCCTTGCCGTTCGTCCATCCCATCCCGCATCAGGATCAGCCATAGCGTGATACACAATCCAAGGCTCAGTACCGTCTGTAATTTGAAGTTAAAGTAAAAATTGTCCATACCCAATGTACTATTATTACTAGTAGTATATATATTAACTGACCTATTGACCTAGTGAAGGAGGCATGTCCCACCCCATACACACCTTCGGCGTCATTCCTCCAGAACACGGGTTGGTCATATCTCCACCAATTTGTTGAAATCAGGGGATCAGCCATGTTATCAATTCCCATGAACCCAAGTTGATAATCTGCAGTCCAACTTCCAGAGGCGGAATAAACTACGAAAGTTCTTCCAGCATTTACCAGAATTTGAGGGCCTTCTAACAACGATGCGCCATGCTGCTGCCACGGATAACTTGGCCAGTTGATTAAAACTCTGGGTCCCGAAATGGTTTCAGGGTCTGACATTGGAGCAATGTATAAATTTTGTGGGAATCCAGCATCAATTGTGGGCCACCCCGACCAAATGAAGTACAACCGTCCATTTCCATATTCTAAGACGGTCCCATCAATCGCCCAAAAATCATCTCCCGGCATACTCATTCTTTTTAATATAATAAGAAATGATTATGCGTATGATCCGAATAACTTATCGTCAGCATTTGATTATCTGCTCACCTCCTCTCCGCCGACCAAGCTCCCATTGGGTTATCCGCGTTCAATGCACGAACTACATACATTCTGTGATTGGCGTTGTCTCCATTGTCCAGAGCAAAATACATGTACCAGTTTCCTCCAATATAGAAAATTTCTGGTGCCCATAAATTTTCTAGACCTGGCGGAGCAACATAGACCGTCACACTTTCAGCCTCTCTCCAATTGTGAAGGATTCGCGACCTGACCAGAAGGATCTCTCGGCCGTTCTCCGATCTAGGCATGTAGTAATAGCCATCCGTATGGAGGTAACAGTAAGGGTCCGGCCACCTAGTGTCCCAAATAGGATTTTGAAACAGGGCCGTCGTATTCCTCCCACCGATATCTTTCGCCCCACAGACGGAAACGAGGACGACGACGACGAGGATCGCAAATTTGGTCTCGGACCACATTTTACCAGATACTTCACTCAACTGGTTCAATTTTCTGGATAAATTCTGTTCTGTGGTTTATATGGTAATAAAATTTATGTTATGCAACTAACTAATGATATATTGGTTTGTAATCTGCACTTTCGCCAAATCTAACACTTAAGCAGCACTTGACATTGGTTATTGGTATAAACACCCACTGACTGTCATGCAATAGTGTGAATGTCATTTAATTTTTATATCAATCATCCATATCAAAAGTACAAGTCTCAAATTTCAATGTATCTCACACAGTATCACCTCGTTTAATCGTACGATTTAAGTGCATTCTGTTATATTTACATCAAGTGGTGGTGACGAGTCTCATTGTTTTCACTTTCCTAATCGTATCGTGTTACCAATTTGGGTTATCTAATAATACCAAAAACAACAACTTATCATTGTAACTTTGCATATATTGATAACTCAATAAAATAAAACCACTTCGTTGTCCGTTTCCAGCCTCTCTGCGTCCTCTACTGTCCATCTCATCAACTTTGCCCAACTTTTCAGCGATCATCAGTGCCGTCGAAAACTGGGCAAAATCATCAAAACGAACCACTTTTCTTATGGGCCGCATACGCCGCTGTTTTTTGATTGAATAAGGCACGAAATCAAAAAATTCTTTACTTCTCCAGTTCCTCAGCGCGTCCACAGCATAAAAAACCGATAAAAATACAATATTTCCAGGCTCTTGATTGTAAAAGGGTAAAAATTTTGTGTGAAGGTAAGTCCTTATCAAGTTCCTTGGTAATTTTTTTAACAGTTGAAGTTAAAGTGTTGTTCATTCTTCTCATTTTGATGACGGCTGGAGATCAAAAAGACAAAATATCTGGAACCTATATAAAAAGATGCATTTTTTATTCTCTTGGGTATAATTGTTTGACAAATGTGGTTATCATTTATGTTTCAGATATCGTGGAGCAGGATAAGATGCCAGGACACCGCGGGGAGACGAAGGGCGAACCGGCGGGTGGTGGTGGGCAACCGGTCTCAGCAGACCAGGACGCTGTGAATAAAGGGATCGATAAAATGTACAAGATTTATGAAAAATTGAGTTCTGCAACTGAAAAGACGACCGTGAGTTTTATTTCGGAATGAATATTTAATTGTAAAAAGTCTGGTAATATTTACTTGCTACATCGATACAAGATCAGATGCTAAAGATTATAGAACTCTTCACATTTTTTAATTGAGTGATGAATTATGCTCATGAATTATTTGTTTTTTAGTTGGAGGGTGATTTCAAGGAATTGTTGGAGGCTGTGAAGAGATCAGACAAGGAAAAAAGGCTCGCTTCCATGTTTATTACTCGGTTTCTTGAATTTTTTCCACTCTTGTACGATGATGCCATTAATGCAATGCTGGATTTGTGTGAGGATGACGATGTTGTTGTAAGTTTTTAAATATTGTGTATTTTTAACAAATTATGTTGATCATGATAAACTTTGGTTTAATTTTTACGATTGTTTTGTTTTGTTTTGAATAGATTCGAAAACAGGTGGTGAAGGACTTGGTCACAGTTTGTAAGAAGGTTCCAACGTTTGTTCCAAAGATCGCAGATGTTTTCTCTCAGTTGATCCAAACCGACGATACTGCAGAGCAAGCTGGGTTAGAGCGTTGTTTGGTGAGCTTGTTCCACATTGATGCACAAGGTAGGTTGAAATTGATTAAGGATTAAAGTGATTCTCTGTTATTTGTACTAATAGTTTCAACTTTATTTAACATTTAATACGAGTAGCTGCCGTTGTTGGAATATTTTCCCAAGTGGGAAACGGTGACGATACGGTGCGTGATAGATGTCTGAAGTTTTTGGCCACGGAGCTTAAAGGTTTGAGCCCAGAAATTGTGAGTCCCGAGTTTGAGAAATGTTTGATTTCTGAAGCTCGAAAATGTGCCCCGGTAAGAAGATATTGTAACTATAAAATTCTGATGATTAAGTAACAATAAGTCTTATATAAAATATATGAATTATTCGATTAATTTAGAAACTCAGTGGAGAACATTTTAACCATTTCCACCGTCTTCTCATGAATACAAAGACTTTACAAACAGTGTCGGGGCAGCAGGTCATGGTAGATTTGATTGCCGAAATTTTGGAGATGGATAAACAGTTTGATGCTTCTGAAGCTGAAAATTTTGACAAGTTATTACTATGCACCAAATCCTCCTTATCATCATTTTCGGTATGTCACTATCAGTCATATTATTTATGACGTGGTTCTATTGTAGTAGGTTAACTAACAAATTAATGAATGTATTCTTTTCTAGAAACAAGTTAGTTCTTCTGCCTATTTAGTTTACTACTGTACAAAAGTATTGCCAAACTTGGAGGATTCAGTTGTGCTTCAAGATGGGGGACATTTGAAACTTGAGGCGCTTAGAATGTTAGCCGATGTAGGGTTTCACGCAGCTCAATTCGACCCTACACAAGCAAAGTTATGTTTGGAACAAGTATACAAGCACTTAGTGGTAAGGACATATGAATAGTATTATTTAAAACATATTGCACTGAACAGGTGATTCTAATTTATTATTATTATTAAATTTTATTCAGGATCTTATGCCTACTCCTCCAGAGGAAGATGAATTAAATCCCAAATTTGAATTTAGCCTTATCGAACCTTTGTTGTTTACATTTCACAAATTGGGAGGTTTTTATCCAGAATTTCTCAACGAACAACCCGATCGCCTAAAAGAATTTCGCGCTCGTTTGCAATATCTGGCCCGAGGAACTCAAACCTACATGAAACTGCTTCGTGAAGATCTCGATGGAAAACGTGGACCTGAGCTACGAAATGACGAGACCATGAAGAAGGTAAGAAACTTAAGAATAACAATTTTCTTATACTTTATTATTATGAGCGAATGAGATCCTGGTAACGGTATGCAGATGTAGATGTGTAAGTGTGTATTAATTTATATATTTTTATACAGATTCAAGCTTTGAAGCTTACCTCAAACATCAGCGCTGTCATTAAAGATTTGTTCCACACTCCTCCAAGCTACAAATCTGTTGTTGGTCTCTCCTGGCGTCCATATGGACTCAGAGCAAAACGTGCCGGAGAGACTCCAGCTCTAACACCTAACAACAATCGAGGTGTTGCAGAAGTTTCGTCACCATCAAATCCTAAGCAATCTCGTAACGAAAACAGGGGAGCACTCTACCAACCACCAAGTGGAAAGTTTTCTGCTCGTGCAGGAACCTACGGTAAGTTGCACGCATTTTCTCTGTAAGAGTATATTGTGTTTCAATATTTTAATAGGCGACTGAATTTCTTAATTATTTGTTTGCAGCGACAGCAGGACCTCGTGTTCTTAGAGGAGGGATTAGACCGCGTGGTGGAATGGCTTTTCCAGGTGGTGGTGGTTTCAATGGTCGTCGAGGAGGAAATAATATTCGTGGGGGTAGGGGTCGTTATTAATACGATCACATTGAAGTTTTATCATGATCAAACCACATGGCAAAAATTTCGGGTCCATGTTATCATTACGGTTATTATTATGTTTGTGCTACTGGTGAACATCTTTTTATGATGATTTGCTTATGTTATTGTTGATCTTTTAAGATTTTGATTATGACCCCACTGGGATAATTTGTTGTTTCCTAAATTGTTTTTGTTCCGTTTTCATAAGCAAACATATGCCATAGATGAATTATTATTACATTGTAAACTGACATTCTTGTTAAAAATACTAATACTGTCATAATTTGTTTTTCTTACTTCACTTGTTCACTTACCGACTAATTAGAGTTGTTGTATGCAAGTATAAAAATAAATTGCTTTAAAATGTTACTCCACTTGTATGCATTCAACATGCACTGTAATTTTGTGGTTATATTTAGTCGGAGCCTGGTGGTGTATTGTTCTTTATGTATGGAGGCGTAGTACAAATGTTTCTCCCTTATTAAAGTAAATATAAAGTAACGGAACATCAGATCCGAGATAAATTATCTATGCAAAGGTTAGTAAAACCAACCTCTCCGTTTTTTTATTCAAACATAGTTTGTAAGTCACTCACATGATTATTATATATTATTATTAATACACACAGCGTAGCCGTTAGAAAACTTTTGGTTGATAAATTACGAATTCAAAGAATAAACTATACACATAGAATTTTAAATCGAGTCTGCAATGTCGCACATCATTTGATCCTGACTGCTAACAACGGGTTGTTTTTCAATTGGTTTTGTCCGCGTTGTTTCCGTCATAGAAAAAAGTTTATTGTCCACCTCTAAATGTTCTGGAAGATTGTTGAGTGCTTGCTTAATTACTTCGACACTCATTTCTAAATGTTTCTGGAATCTGTCGCAGGTTTCTAGCGTTTGACGTTTTTGAACTTCCATCATTACTCGAAGTGTCTCGCGTGCCTGGACAAATAATACTTGTTTTGTAATACAAATCTCCAATCAATGAATTTAATACGATTCTTGGTTAGAAGGTTAATTACCTGATGGGGTCGAAATTCATTAATAAGATGATGCATATGTATAAAAAGTAAACTAATATCATCAATCTTTTCTTGTCTTTTTCCAGAGTCTGGGCAGTGTATTAAAATATCGAGTAAATCCAAAAAGTTAACTAGCACGGAATGGTTCATCTTTTTAAGTTCTCTTCTATGGTCAAAGTTTTGTGGGTAGAGACGACGGATCCCCTGAAAGATACATAGTCATCAATTAGCATCATATCGCATGACCACAATATAATATATATAGTATTTAAACAGTAAAGGTGTCATTATATTTCGCTCGTTAGCAACTTGCGTCAATGCCATAGTTTAACCAAGGCGCAAGTAGCACGGAGCCGAGTACAAATGCAGCTTAACGTATTTTTAAATAGGTTTTAATCTCCGTAACATGAATGAGTATTTTATCCACTATAAAACGTTACCTGGCTCTCCAAGGGGCGAATGATGGCATCATCGGCATGATAGGTGATGCCAAAGACCATGTAGGTCTCGTGGGAGGCGGGTGGTGGGGGTGGTTTTGGAGCACGGCCTCTCTTCACGTTCTCATCCGAGTAGAGGGTGACGTAGGCTTGGGGTGGAAGTGGGAGCGAGCTCTGAGTTTCTGACCCGATGGGAGGCAGACCCCCCACACTGCTGTTCGGCGTCTGGCTCCCTCCCGTCGACATGCTTTAAATCCTCCTCAGGTTCCCAGTCTTAAAGAACTTATCCAATTGCAAATTAATTTACTCTTTCAGTAAATTAAATCCGTGAGCCGACGGAAAGCGGCTGCCAAAACACGACACAAATCGACCGCCAGAGTCAGGGGAAGGCGAGGATTTTTTTTGAGGAGAAGGTTTTTGTCAGGAATTTCGAGGCCTTTTGAGACAATTTTGTCTCAATTTATTAATTAAGAATATAAATTCTAAATTTTACATGAAAAATATCATTGTTTCATATTCTGTAAAATTTCTCGGTAGGGTGCATAGTTTTATTCCATTCATGACTCGAATCTTAGTCTAAATAAATATTGTGCTGCTGTAAGAAGTTTGTTCGAATATGGAACTGTAATTCGAAAGTAGGTACCGATTTTCCAGGGTCAGTATTTTACATTCAAGACTAAATTGGTCTCCCTTTATTATTAGACTGTCTCTAATTCCCTTTCCAAACGAACATCGCCATTAAATCCCCTATTTCATCATCATGCTACGACTACTTTACTGCCAGTGTGTGAAATCATGTCGTCGTGCTTTAAAGGGGTCCAGTACCATGTCACATACACTCCACGAGGAAAAAAAAAATATCACCGAAACCAGATAATGAACCTTCCTTCGTGAGTGTCATGTAATTTGTTGTAATATCATGTTGAATGTAGTACTCATGTAACATGATCCTTCAGATAAAAAGAATCTTCTTCTCCTTCTCCAGTGCAGATCACCTTTTTCAAGTAGTGATGCGTCCTCCTTTTGGTACATAGATGCTCTAACTATTATTACTATTATTATCACTATTATTTTAGAGTGTCTGTTTTGTAATGATGGCATATTTCTCATTATTATGTTTATGTATGCTTATGTATGGCTGCAGGTCAGGTCATCATCAGAGAGCACCAAGGTCTCCGCTTCTTCTCCCTGGTTGGTTTACGTAACAAGTAATGTTAATGACTTGAAGGCACAGTGCGTATGAAATGGAATAATGGAGATAAATGAAGTGGAATGGAGATGTATTATCATCAAGGAGGCGAATTCTTCTTGTTGGATGGAGTAGGAATATATAAATCCCTTGAACTTGTTGCACACCAAGGAAGACTACGGACTACGGAGTTTGTTGAATAGGATGAAATGAAGGTAAACAACTTTTGAGAGAAGAAACCTCCGTCAAAAAATATTCTTGGTAAAAAAAGTTCCATGAAATGAAATGAACGACGCGGAGGAGGGATGAATGTTGGAGGGAAACGAGTGAGATTGTTGGAGGAGGCAATGTGGTGGAGTTCCCTTAAGCGTCAATTACTCCATCGTCGTCTCAACAAACAACTACGCAAGAAGAATAAAATGCCCTTTTCCTCTTCGTATAGGAATAATTCTTTCAATGTATTAAACTACGCCGTGCATGCCTCCCTAGTCAGACGACGACGACATTGTATTTTTAAATGGATAAAGTGTAGATGCACAAACTTTGTGGCGTCATTCTTTCATGATAACTGTCCCCCATTGGTCAAATTGGGTGGAATTGTTTAATCCATAGTTTAATCCATAATCCTCTCCTAGATATTAATGATGGGTCCATTTTGGGGCTAAAACTCCAATTTCCGAGCACGAAACAGTGGTCATGAACGCTTCTAGCAAGTTGTTGCTGCTTGATTCCATCCATATTCATCAGCCGATCTTCCAACGCTATCATAATGTGGTACCACGTTTGTTGGGAGTTGTATATGTGCAAGTATGGTTAGTTAGTTAGTTAAGGTGAGTATTTAGTGAATCATCATCATCATAGGAGAGATGTTGATGATGAGGATGATGGTGGTAAGTAAAGGGATGGATGGCAGCAATAGCAGAATGTTGGTTACAGAAGTTTGCCAGTTTCTTGGTTGCAGCAGCAAAAGGTTGTTCCTGCTGGCTCGACAAGTTGTCCTCTGTTGTGTTATGGTTTCCAATGGCACAACATTTTCAAGAATTTTATAGAGCAACGTGTGAATAGTGAGTGAGCCGAGTGGTTGGTGAAGTGAATGTGTTGAATTTATCGAGAGAAAGAATTATGTCGAATGATTCATTCATTTCATTTCCGTGCAAAGCGATAACATTATTGGCTACATTTTACCCAAATTATCAAGTCCGCTACTGGACTGGGTTTCCTCTCTGAAGTGCAAAATGCTCATTCCTTCAGCCAGATATTTGATCAGGAGAGGTGTTTCGTGGTTGGTGATCGTCGATACTTTTAAATTGAGGTGGGTATCTACTAAATATTTATTTGAACAAGTTTTTCAGAGGTAAATATGTATAATCAACAGACGTACTTTTTTACACTCCGGCTGTTGATTTCAATGTTATTCGTGTTAAGTGCAATGCAATGGTTTTGTGTAGTTTGAATTGGTAAAATTTACAATTTAATGTAGGTAGCTTAACAATTTTAAACAATGTACTATGTTTAAAATTGTGTCATAATTTGAAATTCATGACAATGTCGCTCGATTATGTTGTTTACGTGTGTATAGTATGTTATGACAAAATTGACAATGGTCTTTCCAGCTAATTTCTATTTAAAATATTGACTATTCTTTATCTGGATTGTTAAGCAAACTGAGTTTACAGTTAAGCAATACGTTATCATGTCATTGTAATAATGTGACAATGATTGCGATTAAAATTCCGAAGTTAGTCATTTTTTTGTGAAACGAAGACAGTTAGGACAGGATGTATATCGACGAGTATATAAATATATGTCATTAACAGTTTTATTATTCAATTGTTTCTATTTACAGGCGGAATCACTGATTATACTGCATCACCAAGAACCTTTGAGTTGTAGGATATTAATTACTGTCAATCTACTTCAACAACAACGTGTGATTTCGATTGTCAAAAATATTATCTGTTAAACAGTGGATAAATCTAAAAAGTTTGCTATATTTACTTACTTTGGAGGAAGAAGAATGTGTCCCGACTAAAATTGTATGTGAAGTGAAAGTGACCCCCCAAAAAAGTGAGTGTTATTAGAATTCTCTACTCCATCCGGTTTGAAGGAATCATCACTGCGGATGGTGGAAATGTGCCCGGGTCCGAGTTTGAGGAAAGCAGTGACAGCGTAATCGGAATAAAGGTGAGATTTTTTTTTGGTCATTTGGCTTATCGTTTCGTTAGTTATTTATTTATAAGTCCAATAGCGGAAGGAAGGAACGGAAGATTGTGATTGTCTATATTGATGTGGTTGGTCTAGTTATTTGTCTACAAAAGTCAGTGTGGATCGACATAATTCAAACTCATGCATAGGTATGAGTTTGAAGTGCATGAAAGCATCTCAATTAAAATTTTAATTGGTTTTACACCACTTTGGATTTTATGAAGTGTTACTGCATGGAAATGCGGACAATAATTATTCAGAGAGAGAGAAAACATGCGTAGGCTTTGGTTATTATTGGTACTCATTATTATGACGTGTTAATTTATAATGGAAAATACAATAAATAGTTATTGTCCTTTTGGACTGAGTGAGTGAGGTCGATTTGAATAGTTAAAAATTAAAACGATGATAGTCCTCTTCATACATACACATACTCCTTTTGCCTGGTGTTGTTCTTGAGTAAGTAAATTAGTCAAAACCATGGATTTATTTAAGCAAGCCACCAATTGTTAGGTTTAAATGGAGGAAAACAATGGAAACCAAATTCGCCGTACGCAATAATTTTGCTCTCTTACCATTTGTGCTTAACTTTAAAGGAGATACTCATCCAAAAAGCAAACTCCAATAGAAATATGATACAATCAACAATGCAATGAAAATGTGCCGTGTGCTGGGCGACTTTGTAGTAGGCAGGTAATGGGCTGTGATGAAATATTAAAATGGAAATCTCATTCATTAACAATTTAAGCAATGAGCCATAACTCAAACTCAGTCTGCGTTTCAAAGAAACAGCCTCCGCCCAGAATGATGGGAAAGAAAGCAAGAAACTAAAACGTCTGCTGCGTCAATTTTTATATACAGATGTTGTTTTTAGAAGGAAGTTGGCAACTACTTTTTTCAAAAGAGGACTATGCAACCATGCAAAAAGAAAAACCTATAAACCACACGGTTTCCATTCAACCAAATCATGAGAGGTTTTTGGTGGTGTTTCTAGTGGAACTATAAATTTTAAAATGGACCATTATTATTATATGGACTTCAATTCAAATCTTGCGACCATGCAGTGATACTTTGTGCATGTAGGAAATCAATTTTCCCTTTAGTCAGACATAAACACTTTGTTGTAATAAGTACGCATGTACTCACACGTGTAAAACAATTCAGCAAATTTGAGATCTTGTATCTTGATCTTACAGAAAAGAGTGACTCCTCTTTGGAATTAGAGAAATCATCCTTAACAAATTATCTAGATCGTGCTGATTAAGTCAGCAGGTTTTACTTTATCCACTATTTGCTTATGATAACATAATTTATCCGCCTAAAAAGCGTTTTGCTGAAAATTAATACTACTCCTTAAAATGATAATGATGACCACTTTGATATCAAATCATGCAATTTTCATCTCAATGTCTGAAACATTTTCGTTTTTTATTTAAGTGTGCCAATACTTGTGTGTTAATTTATTAATTCATTCATTTTCTTGATAATAGCAAGTTGGCACACACAATTAGCATATAATACTCAACCTGTGTGTGTAGGTTGGACGATGGATGGAGCACCATTTTGAATATTTCCACCTTTTCGCTAATATTTGCTATTTTATATATACACACACGGAAAGTAATAATCTCACAAAATTACTTTGGAAGAAAAATGCCCACGTTAATAAAGACCTTTTGTCATAGGAGCGTGTAGTAAAGTAGTGGGGGTTGCGCCAATAAGAAATGGCAAGTTGCTAATAACTATTTCCTCTCATGACAAATGAAGGGGAGTTGCCAGCATGAGTAGTTTCGTGATTTGATTGTATATTGTACTTGGCGAATCAAAAGAAGCATAAAGTGTATGAATCCATTTGGAAAATGGTGCAATTTGATTAAATTATTTGATCGACAAACTTTTTCATACGCATTCAAATCGATACATTTTTGTATAAAAAAAGCACAACGTTCTTTTTTTTCTTTGTTAACCACTATTGTTATAATAAAGTTGTTTTTACTTGAACACGGAATTTTTATTAATCCACGTTCACCTTTTACCCATTCCTGTTTTTATTACTTATTGACACTAATTATAATTTTTTTCATTATTATTATTATTACGTGTTCGTGTCTGCTACCAGTTAGGATCTTTATTTTACGCATTCCTTAACAAAATTCGCTTGATGTTTTTCTATGTACACGGATAACACCATTGTCCAAAGTACACTTTCAATTTTCAATTCAATTACCTGTAAAACATCTTTAGGTTCAGTTCAGTCGAGTTTTTTCCACCCAAGGTTTCTTTACATCACAACTTAATCAAGTCCATAATTTACCTTTTCTACAATTCGTTCGTGAAAATTAAAGCAATAACTAACTTTGCTCAGCTCAGCCAGACTACCCTTTTACTCGAGGCACAAATTAAAAATTAAACAAAAATGGTCGGTTCTTCATTCCATTCCTCGTCGTCGTCTTAGAAGAACTTCTCCTGCGTACATACAACAACATTCTTTTTATTATGTTGCAAATATAATAAGAATATCTCAAATTATCAACTTGAATATGCAGTTTAACCAGCAGGGGAGGTTCTCGATTGATTATGTGGCTTATCTCTAGCGGGCTGGTTTTTCTGGCTGAGCGAAATTAAAAGTAAAATCTCATCTAAAAAAATGATATGCGTACGTACGTACAAGAGAGATGCATAAAGTGACATTGAAGTTGTTGGTATTGTTAGCTGGATGTAGAGAAGGAGTGAGAATGCTGCTGCTGAAACCTTCCAGGTATTTAAATTGGACAAAAACCAGACGAATTCCAGCGCAGGTAGGGCAAGAGATAAAATAAAATAATTATGGATGGATGGTTTACGTAGCTATTTGGCTGTTTGGCTTGCAACATATAAAACCGTCACAGGTAGCAATAATAAGGCAGGTAATATATGTATATCTAGTCCTACCTGCCATCATAGGTACACATGTGCACGTAATCCTCTTCATCCCTCCCTCCCGTGCAGATTAGCACTAACTCTAGCTTATTTCTTCTCAACAATGTTTCCCCTTCTTGATTTTCATACCTATTATGCTATGCATATGCTCTGGGCAAGTGTGCAAAGTCTACAAAAGGTTATAGTTTAAATGTAACCAAACATCGTCACGATTAACGAGTATATAGTAAAGTTGCAAAAATTTACGGATTGTAATTTGCAATTTGAATCTCATCCACAAACAGGTTTCGCTTAAATCTCTTGTGGTATTAAATTATCAGCCCAACGTGGCTGGGCTACTACCAACCAGCTACTAATTCTTAATACATGTGTATGCATTTCTGCTTCTCGAGGTGTTGCATATACATGACTTTCGATGTGATAAGGGATGTCATCCTCCTATACATGCTTACCTGTATAAAATATATCTTATAATTCTTATTTAGCCACAAAGAAGGGGCATAAACATGAAAGCTTCATGCTTAATAAGGCTGCATAAATACACGGATAAAAAAATAAATTAGGAAAGAAAGACAAACACGACAATCTATCTGGCCAACAATTGATGAACCACACCATTAAATTACTGCCAGCAGACTTTATATGTAAGTATTCTCTGAAATTCGAGTCGTGCATTCTTAAAATTTTACGATAGGTGTGCATAATATATTGTATCTAAATAGAATAATAAGAGTGAGAAACATACTTATATGCAAAAAGTAAACTACTTTGCTTCTCTGTTCTTCAATGGCCGTTGTTGTGACTGGGTCGGTACTCGGATAGGATTTATTTCCAAAATAAATCTTTTTTTATGACTACGTAACCAGATGGATGCATATATGTTGAGGCAGAAAGATGAGATATTTGCTCAAAGTTAGCACAGCGTATAGTATTCTGATTTGCATACAGACATCTAAAAAATCAAACAAAATTAAAGTCTTACGGCACAAGTGAGTATATGCACATATTTCCCGTCACTTTGAAATGAGAGTTTCGCAAGGGTGTAAACATATGCTGAGGAATAATGTGCAATTTTGACGATGACTACGTGTAATTCAATTACTGCGATACTTGATCTATAGCCCATCAATCAGCAATCAACGTTTGAATGAACCCCATAATAGCCCCATATCTTATTTGGCATATATAATTTTTGTTGTGCTAAAAAATCACAATTTTTTTTGCCAAATAAAATTGCGCATTGTTATATAAAGAAGTGAGTAACCAACAGAAGTGGTAATTATATAACTTGTAGAGTAGGTAGTTGTAGGAATAATATTCGCCAAATTTTTGCTAACATTTCTTCATTTCATAACTCACATTTTTATCGAAAGATTGAGGATTGTCAACCATGTTGCAGTGAAGTGATTGCTTGCATGTCGATGGTGAAGAATAATTGCAGTAATGGGAGGCTCGACTATCATGTATCTGCATGTACAGGTATGCCGTGCATGATGAGAGGTATCTGTAATAACGGCAATATAAGTGTAGCGTGCTTGAAACGTAATATGTTCACAATTAATAGTAAATTAGCACAGCAACGCGGCGGCTGCTGCTGCTGCTGCTGCTGCGGTTGAACGTTGAACAAGATAAATTAAGTCCTCATGCTCGAAGAGTGACCTTGGCAGGGAAAATTAGTTTCAGACTGAAAGGTATTTTTTCTACGCTATGTTTGATAGATTGGCATTACAAAGACTTAATTTACGAAATTTATCTGATCAACTCAGCAATTTTCTTTAAACAACCAAAGTAAAAAAAAAGTAAAATGTATAAAAAAATGTCAATTACATTAAACGCGTGTGCTCTAGCCACATAAAAAATTTGTAGGTAGGTACACCTTACGAGCCTTAATTCCATTATGAACATGTCGCAAATTTGGTATCAGAATTTACAACTAGAAAAGAGAAATTGGTTTGCAAATAATTTGCACATTTGGTTAGCTGATGATGCGTACATATGTACATGTCGTGTAAATTCAATGCAATACTGAAATCTGCCAATTCCCATAATTGAATTTTGAA